CTTTTCAAGATGCGGTCAAGATTTGTCATCGCTTTCCTCCATGCTACGGCAATATATGCTGTGACTCTGGGAGGCAAGAGAATGCTGTTTGCTGCAAATTGTCTTGTGCTGCCCCTGAAATCTAAGTCTGTCGTTGAGAATTCCTTGTTATACCTCCTCATTTTGGAAGCTAAACAGGTGAGGCCTGGTTAGTACTTGAATGGGAAGCCACCAGTCAATATCAGGGATCTCCAGCTAATTACTGGGAAAAGGCCCACCTCAAATCCTGCTGCCACCAACGTTGCCACTACTAAGCCAGATGGGCCACTGGGATGATTCTATAGAAGGCACGTTCTTATGTTTTTTGAGTAGTTATCAGAAGTTCTTCAAAAGAAAGACTGTGAGATTATCAGGTCCTGTTTGCTCAAAGGCAGCTTTTTCTGCCACTGTTGTCCTAACTCTAGAATGTTCAACCCATGGAAACTGAGGGCAACGGGAATTCCTGGGGTGTGCATGGGCTCCATGGCAGAAAAACTGGCAGAGAATGGGTGCCCTACTAGCACAATGCTCTTACAGCATACTGGCTGGATAGCCCTAGGAATCGTAGTACAAAAAATAAATAAAAAGGTTATTTTCCATGCTTTGGGAAAGGACACAAGGAGTATTACCATGTTGCTTCTACTAGGCCTCTCCATGTTGAGCATGGTCACCTGAACGGACTGACGCTGGGATGTGTTACGGCACCTCTTGTCATTTGCAGGGGGCCAATCTCAGAAGGAGAGTATGAGGAACTTCATTCTACCATGTGGTCTTTGACTTAAAGGACTCTTCTTGGTTTCATCATCTCCTGCCTGCTCTTTAACATCTACACAAAGCTACTGGGAGAAGGCATTCAGAGTTTTCAGCTATAGTGCCACCAATATGTGGATGGCATCGCAGCTCTGCTTTCTTTTTGCTCAGTATGTAAATCCCAGAGCAGCTGTAGAACATGTGGGCAGGTGTCTAGTAATGGATGAGGATGAACAAACTGAAATTTCATCCATATAAAATGAAGGAGCTCTTAGCAGTGGCACTGGCTGACCTGATGAGAAACTGGCTTTGGATAACTTTGCACTCCACTGAAGGACCATATTTGCAACTGAATGATATGCTTTGGCTAAGCTCATCTACAAAAGGGCAGGTAGCATCTCTTATCAGAAGTATGTGCACACACACATACACACACACACACACACACACACACACATCTACAGACATCAGTTTGGAATGCCAATCTTTCTGATATAATTCCTCTGTGTATTCTTGCCACCTCTTCTTGACGTCTTCTGCTTCTGTTAGGTCCCTTCCATTTTTGTCTTTTATCATGTTCATGTTTGCGCAAAATGTTCCTCTAATATGTCCAATTTTCCTGAACAGATCTCTGATTTTTCCTTTTCTGTTATCTTCCTCTATTTCTTTTCATTGTTCATTTAAGAAGGCCCTCTTGTCTCTCCTTGCTATTCTTTGGAAGTCTGCATTCAACTTTCTGTAACTTTCCCTATTTCCCTTGCATTTTGTTTCCCTTCTCCTCTCTGCTATTTCTAAGGCCTTGTTGGACAGCCATTTTGCTTTCTTGCATTTCCTTTTCTTTGGGATGGTTTTTGTTGCTGCCTCCTGGACAATGTTACGAGCCTCTATCCAAAGTTCTTCAGGTACTCTGTCCACCAAATCTAGTTCCTTAAATCTGTTCTTTACTTCCACTGTGTACTCATAAGGGATTTGGTTTAGATTATACCTGAGTGGCCCAGTGGTTTTTCCTAATCTCTTCAGTCTAAGCTTGAGTTTTGCTATGAGAAGCTGATGATCAGAGCCGCAGTCAGCTCCAGGTCTTGTTTTTGCTGACTGTATAGAGCTTCTCCATCTTTGGCTGCAGAGAATATAATCAATCTGATTTCGATATTGCCCATCTGGTGATTTCCATGTATAGAGTCGCCTCTTGTGTTGTTGGAAAAGAGTGTTTGTGATGACCAGCTTATTCTCTTGACAAAACTACACAGACCTGTGTAGGCAGTACTTTATATTAGTGCGTTCAAGACCCTCTGGGCCTCAGCAGCATAATAATAATAATTTTTTTTAAAAAAAGGCAAGGAAGCAGCCAAGCTGGAGAGCACTGGCTGCCTGGCACGCAGAGGCACCCACACATCAAAGCAATCAATGATAACACAATGCAAAAGACAGCATGAGAAAAATGTCCCAGGCTGTACTCTACTAATAGCAACAACCACCTTTACAGCCCAGTGTCACACCCTCAGCCTCCCCTCAAGGGAATCAAAACATTCACCCCCAAATCCAACTAAAATACTCACTTCTAATATAATAAAATATACAATAAATACATGAAATAACATTTTTTTTAAAAAAAATCAATCAAAGAGGGAAAGAATAGGCCCCCATACACAAACATGGAACAACATTAAAATAAAACACCCAACTACAGCACCCTTTCCCAAAAATGAATAAAAGCAAGCAAGCAAATGAAGACAAAGAAAAGGCGGTGGGGGGGGAGTTGAACAACCCACCCCAGTTTTTTATATCAAGGCATTATTTTTTGTATGCTCAAAAGACCAACTGCTTAGTGTCTATGGGGCTAGGCATTCCAGAGTCTTATTTTCTGGACTGCCCTGCTACTTTAGCTGTTGAAAGAAAACTCTCCTATTCACTTACACTGTGGAAACAGAACTTTGCTACAAACGCAGTTCATATGATTAGTGCCAGCTGATTGACAGCGGCCTCAGTATCAGTTTCAAGATCTGACTGAGTCATGTGTCTCATCTATTCAAAGTTCTACCTGAACGTGGGGGGTGTGGGGAACAGATTGAAAAGAGAAAAAACAGCAATAATACCAAGTTGCTAAGTAAAACAAAATTCCACGAGAGAGAGAGAGAGAGAGAGAGAGAGAGAGAGACAGACAGACAGACAGACAGGGGGGGTTCCTCCCACACCAAGTGCAATAGAAGGCTGAGTCAAGTTGTCTAACTAAACAGACAGGGAACAAAAACCCAAGCCAAAAGGGGAAAAACAACTCTCAAATTTGGAACACAACCCGCAAATCAGCGGCCAACCTCTTAGAGCACTTACAATCCCCATCTCATTTGTTCACCTTGTCTGCCCAAACTGCTCAACTGCCTTTTTATGAGTTGCAAAATCTAAAGAAGAAACACTAATGGTTGTTGTGGGTTTTTCGGGCTCTTTGGCCATGTTCTGAAGGTTGTTCTTCCTAACGTTTCGCCAGTCTCTGTGGCCGGCATCTTCAGAGGAGATGCCGGCCACAGAGACTGGCCAAACGTTAGGAAGAACCACCTTCAGAACAGGGCCAAAGAGCCCGAAAAACCCACAACCACCATTAGATCCAGGCCGTGAAAGCCTTTGCGAATAGAAGAAACACTAAGTTTCTCATAGTGCTGTGTTACAGTTGTGACATCCCTGCAGATTGCCTGTTGGTGAAGCATGCCTAGGAGGAATGGGTATAGTTTCTGTTGTATATCATAGGCTCTTTCACTTTGTTCTAGTAGCAGGGACAGCATTGAGCTTGGCTCATAAGTTGGTAATAATTGGATCTGCTTTGGTTTCTAATTGTTTTTGCATTACACACTGTGTTGACCAAATACCTTTTGTCATTTTACACTGATGTAATGCAGATGGTGTAAACTGCTGACAGATTTTCCTAAGTTAATAAGTCAGTGTAGATATTATCCATTGTGTGCTGGGCTGAGTGACTCAGCACATTGCAGATAATGTTGCCTTCGTAACTTTTGCACTTTGCCACCTGGTTTCATCATTTGTTTTATGCTTTTGGGCTGTGGGCACGACTGATAGAATTTTGTAGTTATCAAATCATTAGGAGTGGCATTAGGAAAGTAAAGATGCGTTGGCCTCAGTGGCGATGTGAAAGAATTAATCTGAAAATTAAGGCTTATAAAAATGAATATGATTTCTAAATACAGTTGGAGAGAATGTGACACCATCAGACTAATCCCCTAAAGTCTGAAAACATCAAATTTTATGCGGTAGTTCAGCATACACTTTTCTTTGGAAGGGAAACCCCGCACCCCACCCTGAATAGACTCTTAGCTACAAGCCAAAACTAAGAAGCTGCTATACTTTTCATCAGCTTTGTTTAAGTGTGTGTAGATTTATTTTTTAATTACACAGCCTATTTGGACTACAGATTTGAGATAATGCAAGAAAAAACGTCGTAAGCTTGGGAATAGCTTATTGCTGTTTAATGTAAAACTGTCTGTTAATTGGCTGTATAGTTTGGCAGAGCGAAATGCTGTGGATTTAAGCACAAGCAGGGTTGCAATTCTGCCTGGAACAGAAGGCCTGATCTATCAGCCAACAACTGCAGCTCCACAGCCTCCGAGGAAGTGCCTGGAATCTTAAAATGCATGATGGGCCCTTTTGTTATTTTGCCTCTGAAGCACTAGTTCCTGCTTGGGTTATATAGTGCAGCAGACTTAAGTCTGAAATCCCTTCACAGTACAATTATTCCTGGTAATAGAAATACCATTGCTGTCTATACATCCCAATTAGCCACCCATTTTGCTTCCTGGTCTAGCCTGGGCACGTGGTTCCTTAGGTGCACCTTGTACATATGTGCAACATCCAATATGAAAGGACTGGCCTTGGGATAAGCTTCTATGTGAAAAAGAATCCATGACACCTACCAAGAGGTTTCTGTGCTTCACTGTCCCAGAAGTACTTGGCTGAATTCAACCATTATGTGTTGTTAAATCAATTCTGAGTTATGCTGACCTTTGCCAAGGTTTCCTAGGTATACAGTCCTCAATTTATCGGCCCCTTCTTGTGGTGGTGCCCTAGGGTTGTTCTGCTTGCCCAAAGCTACACAGGCTTATTGGAGTTCAAAGGAGTGTGATCTTAGCTCTGTTGCTTGCCGGCGCTAACAGTGATCGTATCACCCTCGCATTCATTCAGACCCTGTCTTTTGCATTTAATAAAAGACTTTCTCTTGTCTTTTACAGTGAATTTATTGGACTCGCGATCCGTAATGGGGGATCTTGGATGGATTGCGTATCCAAAGAATGGGGTAAGTGTTTTGGGGTGTTTATTGGCAGGCTTTATTTTAAGAGCATCACATGGCAAAGGCAAATATCGCCTCATAAGCAGATTGAAGACTCTGCATCAAATTCCAGGGAACAGTCTGTGGAGCTCCCATGCCCCTCTAAGACTGCTCCCAAATTCCAGCTAGCTCCAGATAAAATCACTCAGATTGGACTTCATAGACATTTACTGGAAGTTTGTCTGAATAGCCTAAATTCTGAGTTTTTCTTCCCACCCTGTCTCCTAATGTTTATATTGCCTACCCTGCCAACTCCTGGATAATACTAAGTCTTGCACATGTTTTGTGTGATCCCAACCGAGGTCTCAGTTTGCATCCTGTGGGGCAAAAAGTGATGTGAGGCACTGGTTACTTTGTAGAGCAGTCCTCTTTTCCAGAAGCTAGCACAGAATGCTGGGATCTTCATCTCATGGCTAAAGCGTGTAACACAAGAGTGCTTGTGGGCTGTATCTCATCCTGAGCTTGACTGCAAGATATGTGCATTGTGTTTCATGCTAAACTTAAATGCATAGTTTGGTTTTGCATGTTGTATTTTTTTTTTTTTTTACTTACAGCAGCAGCTGCACCAGGTGGGTGGGATGAGAATTGGTATTGTGTCAAGCAGACAATGCCTTCAGCCCCTTGCTCCCATGCTGCAGTCCTGATGAAAATTGCCACCCCAGCTGCTGCTCTTTGAGGAATAAGAATTAGGCATGCGAGACAAACAATGTGCTTTAGACCATTTATAAATCCTGCAGAAGAGCTCTTTCTAGGTTGTTTGTCTCTCACAAAAAAAAAATATTTAGGCTTTGGTTTTGCTCTGTTCTGTCCACTTAGAAATGTATTTTATTTTGAGTTTATTTTTAATAGTAGTGATTACATTTTGTTTCGAAAGCCTTATGCTTCTCTTTGTCCCTTCAGTCCTTTTTTCCCTGTTCCGTTTTTGAAAAATACCCCCCTCCCCCAAACACACATGCAAAAGGACTAGATGCAACTGCCTTATTAAGCCTGTGCAACCATTTGCCTCTTTGCTCTCGTGATTTCGCTGGGCTACCTGTAGCATTTGTCACGAAGCAATCTTCTTTGCCTCCTGAGTATTACCAGTGTGTTTTGGCTCATGGTACAGTAACATGTGATGTGAGGTGGGTTTTGCCTCATTTTTAAAATAAATCTATAAGGCTGACTGGAACGCACGAGTGTGACATGCCTGGAATTATACCACATGCTCACTTTTTGTGCCAAAGATGCAAAAAAATAGTTCATTACCCCCACTTTGCATTGCACATAAACAAAAGCCATAATTGCCTCTGACCAAGGAGGAGAAATCTGGGCTAGTGAGGGATGTCAGCTGAAGTTCCTAAGCAGATGTCAGCTGTGGGGTTTTGATTGATTGATTGATTGATTGATTGATTGATTGATTGATTGATTGATTGATTGATTGATTGATTGATTGATTGATTGATTGATTGATTGCATTATACAGTACCTGGTTGGGTTGTTGTGTTCCTTTTCAAACACTAAACATAATTAAACTTTAGGCTGAGTGGTCTCAAATTTTTTGCAGTCCTAGGCATAAGGCAGGAGTATCTAGTCCTTTTGCATCTGTATACTAATGCCAGTAGCATGGTTTTCTGGCAGTAGGTCAGGGAGTTACCTTTAAGACCAAGACCATCTCCCTCCCTCCCACAAATCGGAGCACAGTTACAGAATCATGAGGACTAATTAATGAGATGCTGACCATGCAACCAGGTATGTGCTATTGTGTGCAGAGAAACCAGTAGGATTTTGCCCTCAGGCTCCTTACATGAAGGAAAGGGAGATGATTCTGCTCCATGAGCAGAATCCAAAGCAGCCAGAAGTTACAGCACCTAGGACAGCTCCCAGGGAGCACCTTGTTCCGAAGATGGCTGGACTTGTATTAAGGCCTCTCATATTGCTGGCTCAAGACTATTGTATCTGGGCTCTACCTCCCTTTACTCCAGATAAAGTCCAACATCCTTTTGGTTTTTCTGCACACAGTTGCACAGCCAGCATCTCATTAATTAGTCACCACAATTATTGCAATTAGATTTCTATTCATTGAAGACTTAAAGTGGAACTTTTAAATTATTATATTGTTTTCTTGCTTTCATTGCCACATGCCAAAGTATTCTTACTTATCCCCTGTCGTTTCCCCCCCTTCCTCTCTGGTTTAACTTATCTCCCCCTAACCAAACTGCCATTTCCATTTCCCCTATGTTGTTGCTGAAGGTTCAGTAGGCACATAAACATTATCACCCACCAAAAGTAGACTGATTCCTACTGGTGGTCCTCAGGCCACAGTCTGGGAATTAATGGCTGCTTCAATGGTTCTAACCAAGTGGTTCCGAACCTTGAGTCCTTAGATATTCTTGGACTAAAACTCCCAGAAGCTTTCACCATCTGGGGACCTCAAGGATGGGAACCACTGTTCTAGTCAATCGGATAACACCCCAGAGGTGGCTTGATTAAGGGACACTGAGTGAGTCAGTACAGTTACTGTGTAAAATGTGTTGGTAGCATCTCTATGATCCTGTTTCATTGAGTCACAATTCAGCTTGACAGCTATATGGATGAAGTAAGCTTTGCTTGGATGATGGAGGCTATGGTGGAATCTCCTATTCTTGAAGATGTCTAATCTGGCCACGGTGACACATCCCTTAGTTACAACCTGGTTGTTGGTGGAATCTCCTATTCTTGAAGATGTCTGATCTGGCCACGGTGACACATCCCTACAGTAATACAACCTGGGTGGATTACTGTAATGCACTCTATGTGGAGTTGCCTTTGGAAAGTGTTTGGAAACTCCAGCAGGTTCAGAATGCTGCAGCCAGATTGTTAAATTATAGCAACTTTATAGGCTGCTAGTTTATTTCCAGACACAATTCAAAGTGAGGCTGCTAGTTTATTTCCAGACACAATTCTTGGGTCCAAGCTTGGGTCCAAGCTGTCTCAAAGACTGCATCTCCCTTTGTTATCCTACCCGGGATTTAATATCATCGAGCAGGTCTTTCTGTCAGTCTAATTACCCTTACAAGACTGCATCTCCCTTTGTTATCCTACCCAGGATTTAATATCATCAAGCAGGTCTTTCTGTCAGTCCAACCACCCTTACAGGTGCATTTGGTGGGAACACAGGAGAGGACCTTCTCTGCTGTTGCTCCCAGACTCTGGAACTCCCTCCCAGAGGCAGCCAGATTAGCTCCATATTTACTGTCCTTCCACAAGCATAGAAAGAGCTTCATCTTCTGGCACGCTTTTTCTTAATGACTGGCTAAGAGGTTTTTTTTTAATGGCCCTGTTATGTTGTTATTGTTTTCAATGTGTTTTCACTACTATTTTATTTACTAATTTAAATACTGTACTACATTTGTTTAGTTCTTTTCAATATTGTAATCATTTATTGTTTTAGCTCTTAATGTGGTTTCTTTTAATACTGTAAGTTGCATTTTTAGGAGAATGTGAATGAATGAATGAATGAATGAATGAATGAATGAATGAATGAATGAATGAATGAATGAATGAATGAATGAGAAAAACAGAGCCAGTTCCTGAGTGGACCCGTTACCACCTTCCTACCACATGTGGTACAGTCAGTTGATCCTACCAAACCCTCCCCACTCCTAAACTGTGAAACATTATATGACAATATATGTCAGGTAGGCAAAGTGTGGCCTGTGTGGTGCCTGCCTCATTTGTTTTTAAAAATAACCCATTCACTTCCAGTTTCTTTGGGGAAACAAGGTATCTGAGCCTAATAGCAACCCATGGGAGACTTGGCACTTATTTTATTTTTTTTTAAAATTGGATGGACTAGGAGGAGGAGGGGATAGACCTTCCAAGCTGAGTGTGATGAGTGTGTGGACTTAAGACTTCTGGAAGTTGCCCACACCAATATATTGTTCCAGAATTTTGAATATCTGTAAAATTCTCCTTTTGCTACACAGTAAAAATACAGAGATACACAAAGGAGAATAACTACAAGTTCCCTTAAACCACTGACACTTAAAATCTCAGTAACTCACTCTGAGATACTTGTAGGAGAAAGAACAAAAATGTTTATTTACTTACAATTGCTTGAAATTACACACTTGTGTATACTGCTGCCACCAACCCATGAAAGAGAGGAATAAAACATGCAGCTCAGTGGTGGGGCTCTGGAAGAACCCTGAAAGTAATGGTTGGTTAGTGCTGGATAGATGGACAACCACTTCAGCTGAGAAAAGCCCTTCCCATTGGTTAGTGCTGGATAGATGGACAATCACTTCAGCTGAGAAAAGCCCTTCCCGGCCACTCTAACGACAGACAGCATGTGAAGCAGTAAATAAAACTCCAACATTCATGCAGTTCTAAATTTTTAAAGTAAGAGTCATAAAACTGTTCTGGGACCTTTCTGTGTGTCTATAGCCATCAGCATTACTTCTTAATCATTCCACCAAACTTCCATCTGTCTGTTCTGGCTGTACCATACAGTCCTCCTGAAGTATATGAAGGATATCCTCCTGAAGTATATGAAGGATAAACCTCTTTAGCTGTGTGTTGTAATGGATAAACTAGAACTTAGGAGGCCTGGATTTGACTCTCCACTCAGCGTTGTAATCTCACTGGAGTTGTGGAACTGATGAAACCACACCTTAAATATCTCCCTTACTTTGAAAGCCCTGTTAGGATTGCTGTAAGTCAGTTCCAGCAGTTCCACATATCAACATCTCTTTGGCTGCTGTCATCAAAATGATCCTCAATTATTAATGTGAAAAAGATTATTTTGATAATCATGTCTTAAGTGACACTAAATGGGTTTATGACACAAGTCCTCTAAAATAATTCCATGCTATGGACCCTTCACTCATCTAACTCTCATGTTTGATCAGAGGATGATCCAGACAGTTGCCTCATCAACCTACCATATTTGAACTAGTTTTGTCGTATTAGAGAGCATATTTTGGACTGCTCCTGTCAATCATATTGGA